GGGAGCAGGATGTCGTACTTTGTTCTCGGCCGATAAAGACTGCGTGTATGCTAACCCAGTGTGGAAGGCAGGCTTAAATGTATTAGATGAGATGGCAACATCAGAGGCAAATTGAAAAATGTAACAATTCGTACGATTGCTTGCTTAATCGCGCTTAATAGGCTTAAGTCGACGCTCATTTGATACCTGAAAACGAACCTCAGCGAGTCCCACAGTACCCCTAAAGTGGACTGTACTAAAGTAACCCGAGTTTACAGAGTTTATTGGAGCTAGAATGCTTCGAGTCTTCTGGGGCTTTTATGCCCGCTATCGTAAATCAGAACCTCGGCAGCAAAGTCCTTTTTACGCACGATAACTTGAGAGTGCCTATGCGTTATTCCAATGCGTCGCTAAATTTCCCTGGCATTAGGCAAATAAGTAACATCCAGCATACGCTGACCGGCCTAAAGCGGCCGTTTCGGTAACACAATTGAAGTATACGTTTCTCGCAAATCGCGCCGGCAATGTGTGTATCTTTAAGTAAAATTATGATTTTGCAACGAGACTCTTTGTTGATTTGTTGTCATAAATTTGCCTACTGGACGATGTCAAAGGCGACAACCCTTTTCTATTAATAAAATTCATCTTGGACCGATTGTCGTCGGTGTCATGACACACCCAATAACATTGTAAGTGGTCCTTCTTCGCCTTCCGCCTTCGGAACGCCTGGGAACGGCATATTTCATATTGCATTCACTAATCAATGTGTCCGCATCATACTTTTACCTGGTAGTACAGGAATTTGCCATAGCCTATTTATCTTACATAAATTACAGGATACTACGTAAGTACACAGAAAAAATACCGCAAATTTAACACACAAATTAGTATTATAGTAGTCTACAGAAGTTCATACCAATCCAGTTAAGCTTCTAGAAGAAATATCAAAATCAGCTAAAACGATAGGTTTAAAATTAAACCTCAGATTAGTAAATGACGGCTATATGTCTATAGATTTCAACAATAATAGGCGCTCTAAATGTTTCGAGGTCCAATCCGGCACCGTTGTTGAGCAGTCCATCAAAGGGCTAGCCCTTCCCAGCGCGAAACGCAGTGTGCCTACACATACATTCGGATCCAGAGAACCAGGTGAGAAAGTCTTATTTACAATGTCATAATATAACTATTTCATTGAATCGTCAAGGATCGCATTAACTTGACTTGAAACGCTGTATGATTGTTGACTAGATCCCTTAAGCCAAACTAGAAAGCTTCGCATGATCTTCTTCTAGTAATTGACTGTAGCAAATCCATGATCTTCAAACGTCCGAATGACTTTTTACACTATTATTGAATTAAATGTAATTGACGTTCAGATGCTGCGGGGCATTTAACAGTACGTCGCCACTGGATACTAGTAAAGGATATATAAATATTCAAACATTTAAGATGTTGTCGTTAAGTAAGCACGAGTCATATCATGAAACGATCGAATATTTTAAGCGTTAGCCATAGATGCCAGGGATTTAGTGCAGGAATGCAAGGGACCTTTATTCTATGGCCATTCTATGCTATTAAATTCGATGGAACAACGTCTTGAAATTATGATGCAAAGCCACACGGACTTCGATGAGGTTGTGTGGTGACGAGATTGAGCATGCGCGTCTCGTGCCCAGAGAAACCTCAACCGCGGATCTTATAAGGCACTCCAGGGTGAAACTCTAAATTGATAGAAGCTTCCAATTTGAACGATTTGTATGCTTGCAACATAAGTGCATCTCATTTTTATTGCGGCTAGTTTTATCAGTTATAGTAAGTGCAGGTTACGTTGCGAACTTTGCTTACTATCTTTACACGTGTGCCTTCTATCGAATTTAGGAAGACAACTCTTTCATGATACTTGCTATATCCTATGCCATAACTAGCGATCGATACCAATGTCTCAAATCGACAGGATTTTAATTGTTTTTTTCCGATACTGAACCGTTTCGGCGCTAACGTCTCAATTTAGCTAACTTGAACGAAGTTCGCTAGGATGCAAGCGCCACATCTAGCGCGTGCTGTGAATTTCCGAAACGAGACGTGTATTTTTTCTAGCAAATACCAAATAACTACTTGTCTAATAATCTAGGCTGTATTTTATGATTAACGAATCTGAAAAGTATCTACAACTTTTTAAACGTCTTCTAGCTAAATATCGATAGAGTTAACTTCTATTACCGAACGCAAAGTCTAAGTAATAGAAGTTCGGAGTTAGTAAAAACTCGACATAGAGCCCATATATCCGTATGGCCGGCGTTCACTGCGAGCTGCGTAAATAATTTTTCACCTAACTGAATCCCTGCGAAGACTCCGCTAGATCAGCTTTTTATGCGAAGCCTCTACGTTGTGAACTTGTTCGTTTATGTTAGTATTTATGTTACTTAGTTATATTTGCAGGACCTTTTGACTTCGACGAAAGACGTAAGGGTCACGCGTTTCGTCTGGTAGCCACGTGACCTCCACCAGTGTCGCTCCGGCGTTGTTGATCACGGCAGATCTCCCAAGTAATAAACGACGTCTTTGATACAACTCATTTTACAATCATGGACGTCAACAGATCACAAGCGTAACCTGAGGCTACATTGAATCATACGAACCTGCTTAGTACTTGAAGATGACATCCTCATACTTTGTACATGTATTTTATTGCTTGCTAAATCAAAAAGTATAAATAAGCTAAGTCTCAATCAGCTAACCTACTGGGTCAATACAGACCTTCACAAGATCGAAAATCGCACTTTTGTTTACGATATAATACAATGTATTACGTCGACCAGCTCTCACATAAAACCTGTACACTTTGTCAAGTGCTTGTTAAAATCCGTAATTAAAATAAGCCGTCCAGTTTTTATTGCGGAATAGGGATAGGTCAAACAACGACCTGGTGAACACGATACGTTTAGCATTTACAGAGAACTTCATAGACGAAGGTGTAGGTTGCCACGAAATTTGAAGCTTATAGTACCTTGAAGTCCCTAAAATTTCATTTGATGACATTTTAACAGTCGCTTTTCTCTGCATGGAAAAATGCTTGGCTCTGGCCCACTGTATCCACTGGGTGATGGATCGCTTAAGTTTAAACAGAAAATGCTTTGGAACATTAGTTTGTTGTTAAAATGGATATATTACAAATTATTTGACCTTTTTGTTATATGTTTTTATTTATTACTGTGTGTGTAGACGAATAGTACTTATTCATTAAAGTATTTGGCCTAGGACTTTGTCTCGAATGCATCTGTAGCGCTTCTCATGCTTAAATGAGAAATTGTAGCAATTCATATTGAAATAGTTACTAATTCATTCAAATTTCTTTTTTTTTTAGTAAACGAAATATATTTTGTCTTATGTCACCTATTGGCCATCCCAAAAAAACGGTGGTAAATTTATTTCAGCCAAATACGAAGAGCCAAATGCGAAGTTTCCAAAGATATCGCCGCTTTACCTTTCGAGTTTCCTACGCATTTAAAATAGTTCTATATGTCTTTAGATATCTCAATTAAGGCATGATGGCGTATATCTTTGGGCTGTGCACAAAAAACATTTGCTAACATATGTATTGCTACGCATTTTTATTTAAGAACTACGAATACGGCATTCGTAGCCGCACTTCTAGAGCCAGTGGGCTTCGAAATAAAGTGGCTAAACAGGACTACGACAACTTTCGAAAGCAACTCTAGAGAAATATGTCAGGTAAATTAGGTACGTTCCTACACTTCATTCGTGAACCTCATCACTCCTCATAGGAATATCGTAAGAATAATCCCACCTTATTAGATGAGCCACTCTAATCGAGTTGACATGAAGCACAACATTCAGGACATCTTGAATGCGTTAGTGACTGAGCCGAAATTAACATCAGCATTTCACATTGCTCGTTCGTAGCAGAAGCCCATTAGGCGTTAGGACCAAAACATGGTGACTATGATAGACGTACGTGTACATATATATACATAGAAATGGCACGATCCTAACCTCCCTAATGGCAGACAGGAACGAGCTCTCTGCAGCCGTCCGCTGTAGCCTCGAGTAGTATTATAACAATGTATTTTTCATTTAGTCCATTGCTGTGCTGGTCGGATGGCATATCTTCATTCGTGACAAATAATTTTACTGCACTATGACACAACATCATCTGGTGCTTTTGTCACAATATCCGTCCTATTATGCTTACAACTTGTGAGCATTAGCTCAGGCGTCGTAATACAGCTTATGCTTTCTATGAAGGCCGCAACGAGCAGAATTTGTATGGTTCCCTTCTGACAATCGTTCTCACCTTCATCAAACTTACTTACCTTGTATTGACTAATTGACGAGCATCTGCAAAGAGTTCCTTTGCTGTTCTTCTACTCTCGTTAGGGTTGCAACTACATACATGTTACCGGGATCAAGCATCACAGTTTCTAGGTTGAAGATATAGGGCTCCTAGTCGATGCACAATCTTCCTTAGATACGCAAGATGGTGCGCTTTGGTTTCCAGCTGCCCTATAGTCTCCTTTTAAGTGCAGACCGCTGGACCTTAGGCCCACTCTGATCAGTGACTGATTTGCTTCGATCAACGTTGTATATCCGGGATCACTTCAAAGACCCGCAAGATGAGAACGTCAGAGGGGAGAGACATTCGTTTTGCGATCAGGTGCTGACTTCGCACACCATTTTGCAGATCTGACAGTAGTGCTTGTGAGCAATTGACTTTGATGTGCGGCTTGCCGCATTAAGCTTGCGGTTTCTCTGAACGATTATGTTTTGCACGTATGCGATTCCGGACAACATCTACGAAATCGACAGATAAGTCAAAGTTGCGATTTCGGGTTTTACGTGTTGCCAAAATCGCTTTAACGAGATTATAAAAGCGTGTAAAATTATGGAGCTAACAACACAACGCCAGGACAGCATAAGTTTGGCTATCTTACTCGAATGGTTACATTCAATAGAATCGCTACGATCTTTCTACGCTACAGAGTATATGCGGTAATCTACGATCTGCCTACTTAACGTTAAGCTGCAAGCGCATGTAATAATGAGTGCTACATGTCCTTCTGATATGTGGAAGTTAAGACGGTCAACTAGTTACAGCGAATTACTCATATATATATATAGTTGAACACTTTATATGAGACGTAAAAGATAATAATCGATAAATGCCGTTATGGTACCAATGAGGCTTATGTACAAATTTATTCATTGTTATAGCATATCTTTACCTCTACCGTCGTTTTCTTGAGCATTTTTTTCTCTCAACCAGTCTAGTTGCACTTGTATTTGTCCACGTAAGTAATCTGTAGATATAATTGAAATGATGAGTACTTTTACTTTCCCGTTTAAATATCTGTACGTATAGTCTACCGGCGAAATCTGGTCCTACTTAATGTGGCCTGGCAATCGAATTTAAGCTATTTTTCATAATACTTTTGTAGACCAATGGAGCTATTGATGTACGATGATCAAACATGTACCGTTGTAACCATTGTGTAAGCTCTATCCATCAGGCGTATATGATATAAACCGTAAAACCTAAAGGCGTTCATCCGATCCGTCATAAGCATATTTGTTTCATACAAGATTATATCCTGTGGTATACCGTTCACGAGCGAATAGATTTCAGTCTGCGAATGTGTGCCTTTTTTTTTACAGAGCCATATATGTTTCTTTATAGATTTGAATATTTGTTTGCTTTCGTCGCGCCGCGTTTATGGCCGAGATACGCATATAATCCGTATACTATAATTTCGTGTCTTTAGCAAGCGCAATTGTTTGTTTTACTACTCGTCATTGACGTTCGTATCGGCAAGTCTTGTGTTCCATTCCTTCATAGACACTATATTGCTCGTTTTCAATAATGGATCTTGTTGACGAGTCTGATTGCTAATGAGTTACACACCGATATGGCTAACTGCAGCACCACCTGTAGAGTAACTCTGTTGCCTATCAGAACAAATAAAGAACAGAGCTCTTATGTGCCTAATCAGATTTTTCGTGTTCAGGCATATTCGAACACGCTACTACTACGCTAGACACGCTTACTCGTGTTTTCGACTCGACTACACTTTTACATTAGTAACAAAATACTCTGTGAGACTGTACGTGAAGTTTTATACTCGACAACAAAAAGCAGAGCGATTCTGCTTACTGGCTTTTTACTCGGGTTCGAATGATTTGTTTCTGCTCGCAAGACTATAGGCCTAGGCCACCCCAACATCTTCAGTTGATCTCAAGATACTAACGTGATCTTATGCAACCTACCGTCTTCTGGTATGTGTGTCAAACACGTAAATAGTTGACACGCGATTGCGATCCAAGCAGAATTTAGAAATTTCAGCCGTTTTATTAACATGCTGTCCTTTCGTCTGCGCTTATCAGCTATAGGGTTGATTCTTACCAGTAACCAGCTTGGTCAATGAGATCTTTCGGCCGTCTTATACTCTAATACAGCGCGGTGCTATTCGGTAAGAGGAATGGTACGATATCGATGCTAACATCCTGTGTCTTTTCACTGAATTCAATTCATTTATACATCCTCTATAAAGTTGCGATCAATCGAGGCGAGAACATTTCTAACTTATAAATCATTACTGTTTTATAGCGACCCATAGAATTAACTCACGCTAGTGCGGATTCTCACTCAGAGTGTGACGTTTGTATTAGTTTGCCTTTGAGAGCATGCATCTGATACGAAGCACACCTAAACTCTAGCCGGCTGGCTCACCACGGCCAAAGGAGGAAACGCTGTATTATGTGCACACACTGAATTTAAATTAATTATTTTACTTAAAATACAATATCGCATTCATCTATAATAAATATAGCCTATTGAATTTGGTAAAGAATTTATGCAGCTTTTCTTGTGCAGCCATCTTGCGGTCCTGTTTAAGCCTCATAGGCGAATTCGAGGAGACGACACAATTAGACATCATTTGGCGCCCCTGTCGGGCAACAAACGGTCCAATTAGTCGTGCACTAGCTCATTTTTACATCTTGAAGATATTTACAGAAGATTAATCGGCTGTTCATTCGTAGTCTTCATCGCAGCTCCCTGGTCTATGGTAAATCTTCTCGAGAGGTATGTGGACAGAGGGATGGAGCTCGAACGAGAACGAGCAGATCCATTGGGGTCGGTGCTAAATACCCCAAAGCACCACGTAGCCTTCAAGAATGCCGCGAAGCCTAGAACGTCAAACCAAAACAAAACGTCATGTCATCACATCGTATACGAACATCAAAAAAGCGCTGACGTCTAACTTTAACATCATTGTATGAAAAATTGGTACCATCTGCACGTAACAGCCACGGAACGCCGCATCAATGATTATGTAGTCAGTGAGATGATTTGCGTAAGCCATTAGGGTACTCTTTGTTAAATGCAGGGCAACTACATATGAACAGATAAGGAGACAACCTACTAGGCTTCTGTCTTAGGTGGTACCTTTTGTGTAATACGGCTAAAAAAGCAAAGAAGTATTGGCCAAGCGAGTTTTGATTATCATTAGAGAAGGGATAACCTAGCCTATCTGAAATGAATACACTAAGTCTTTAAGCTGGTTGGATCCGGGACACACTTCGCACTCAAAAAATAATCATCGGCACATTTCGTATAGGATTTTCGCATGTGAGAAACTTCTACCATTAAACAAAGCTTTCCGACCGTGAACGTTTATATTAAAATCTTTCGAGTTGGAAACGATAGAAAGAAAGCACAAAAATTAAGTTCAATATATTAAACTCTAGGCAATCCATGCAAAAACAACGACTCCCGAAGAAAGGAAGCCGGTAGGAATACTTCTGAGGATTTGCCTGCAGGCTACGTAAACTTTCCGGCCTATTGCATCATAGAATCGTTTCAAGTGAAGTAATACTACGTCACAAGTTACTAAGCCACATTGATCTTTTTAATAATATCGATAATACGATTATCTGATAGGTGTATCGAGTTCGCGGGGGGGGGGGGGAGGTCGGCTGTCCTAACTCTAGCTAATGGTTAGTTAGTTAATATCTCTGAATTGCCTTCATTTTTAATTTCTGCTCACAGTCACGTCTGAACTGCATAAATGATCTGCTCCTAATGTATTTGAAAGTGATTCCGCTCGAAATCTAGCTTTCTAGCAGATCTGGTGCTGTGCTCACAGCCAATGAACGAAATGACCCGAGAAGAGACTACTTAACTTGGTAAACTTCTTAGTGTCCTTTGACTTGCTTTACACCCTATTTATTTTGATAGCATAGCGTAAATATGTCTGTATTAGCGGGTTTTTACTTCGACTGGATGTCAGCGATGCGCTGGTGGCGCTTCTATGTTTCGAATTTTAGGTCCGGTATCGCCGTTAAGCATCCCGTCAACTTCGGGTTACAATATAGATCATAACGTGTCCTGAAGATTAGCAGACAACTGCGGGCGAGGCTAGGGCCAACGGTAACGAGGAAGAATTACTCTCCCACTGTGTCACGTCAATAGAAAACTATTTTGTATATTTAAAAGCTTCTTACAGTCCTAGGTGTAAATGTTATTTGAGGCTGATTTTCTTTCAAGTGTTCAAGATAGTGCTCCATTGGTATTATGGATCGTTTGAAAGCACTGCGGCTGGCCTAACAGTATCGGGAATATGTTACAAGAAAGCACTTCTTTGAAATTTCCTGCGGACTGAAGTATGCGGTGAGGTTCGCCATATTGTCAGCTATTTCGTGGACTATAAAGGACTATTCATGGGCCGGCAATTTTGAATAAGATTTTCAACAGAAAAACTAAGGGACAATGACTGATTGAAGCTCACCATAGGACAAAAGCCAGTTGGTGCCGTTGTTATAACATAGATGAATGCGAAAACTGAATACTAGTCAATAACTCCATCTATTCAAACTACAACCATGTTTCGAATTCTATGTCTGCTACTACAAGGCACAAGTACGCAGACCAGTCTGACAATAACTAACTTGCACAGCGTTCAACTTACCATGACGGAACTTCTTGTTGAAGTAAGCGTATATGAGAGGGTTTACCGCTGAATTAGCGAGACCGAGCCACTGAGCTAAGGGGTACAACGTAAAGACAAAACTTTCGAGTTCATCTCCATGACGAGGATATCCAAACAGGTTAATGTAACCGTTGATGAGGTAGAGGGGTGCCCATGTCAGGAAGAATATGAGCACAACGACGCAGACCATACGTAGCACTTTCACTTTTGATTTGTCAATGAGCATGCGTTGATTGCTCTGTAGCGTCAATCAGACGTAGCACGAAAGAAAGGGGAAAAAAACAGGATTAGTGAATAATTTGTAACTTATCAATTAATATTTAAAAAAAAAAAACCAACTGCCTCGTAGCTGCCAGTTGTAGAATACTTTGGGTATTGTCTTGAAAGTTGTGGAGTATATGCATTCGGCCTTATTAGACAGTCAACTGTCACGTGCCTTTTCAGCTTTGACATATGGTAGCATTTTTTTTCTCTCAGAGGAGATATATCTTCTTTTGAAGGTTTAGCCTTTTAGCGACCTTCTGTCTCAGGTCGTGGCCGTCACTCATTCTGTGTAGAAAGATCTGCGGAGAAGCATTTGCGCAGAACGCACGACTAATGGCGAACATGCTTACCGTACAACTTTACGCTTACCGCTTTACATGAACTATATTTAAACAAACCTACGCGTCATAATTGTGTCAACTGGACCAGTCTTTCTTATTAAAAGCGTATAAATCATCGTGTAGCATGACATAGATTTACAATTGTTTTAGTTTGTATCAATCAGAAATCCTCTACTTATAGTAACAGTGAGGCTTACCTTAGCCCGCGCTATGCCAGAAGTCTCGGTCAGCCGAGGCGTCGTCTCCTCGCCAATCATATGGCGGTTTGAGACCGTGTGAAAGATGAAGCAATACGACAACAAAATAAATAGCAGCGGTAATACATAGCACAGTAGAACGACTAGACAAAAAAACACCTGTTCGACCCATTGTGATGGGAACGTCAACCCGCACATAGGAACCCCATAATGCTCATTAATATACTGGTTTTGGTAGACGATAGTAGGTAACATAGTCGCAATGGCCAGACCCCAGATGATTACAATGTGCCGCTGTACCGCGCAACTACTCATTGGCTGACATCGGAGCGGATCGTGGCAAATAGCCATATACCTAAAAGCAAAGACGAGTACAAAAAGAATGTATATATATATATATATATATATATAGAAGTAGATAAAAAAAAAAAAAAAAAAAAAAGAGGTGAGTGGTTTCCCCTACGAGAAGCAGAAAACTTCACAAAAATCTAAGTTTTGTATCTGCGTATGCCTCGAACGCCACTAAGGTGTAGCATGCTGTTCTATAGATGGTGAAAGTTAAAATAGCTTGATTTTTGCCTAGTAATTTTTATGCTAGTTTACGTTAGTCTAATTTTTAATCCGGTTAATAGATCATTAAAGTTACACGATTAATATAATTCGTCGCATCGTCTGCCTGAGACAACTAGGTTAACTTCAGAAGTATATCCGCTCTAAAAAAAATTGCCTATCAAGAATTACTTCGAATGAACTGGAAATTTGTCCGAAGAAGCTATCCAAGTATTCACAGATCCGAAGCAAAAGTGATACAACGAATCTGAAAATGGTATCAAGTACTGCTCCGTAACATTGTGGGCGAAACTGTCCGTACCTGTAACTTAGTAACTGCGTAACGTATGAAGTAAATTCCCAAAGAGTTTCTCTCCTTAAAGCTGTTCGTTTAGAAGCTGCATGAATGTTTTCAAACAATTACGTGGATTGAGTTGTGGTCGGGAATGGCAAAAAAAACTTAAAGAACTTCAAATGAGATCCCATATCATCAAAACGTGAGTAGTACTAAAAAGGTTACATCGGATCTTCACCGCGTATTACCTGAGAAGATGTGTTCTGAAGAGCCGTTTACGATATAAACTAAGTCAGATCCATTAAAACGGCTCTGATATCCATTTGTAGCCCTTCTGATTTTTTTCGAGCAAGTCGTTTCAGTGTTTCCGAGCAATTCGTATAAATGGGTCTAGAGAGTAGGAAGCTTTATCCCTGCGGTAGGTGCTGTACTCAGATATCGTAGTCAATCAGCGAAGGTGATGCTATGAGCATTCATACCTAAAATATTGATATGTCACTCCTTGGAACTTTAGTGTGTTAATTGCGTCGGCCGAATCCAGTCTCGTAAAAACTTTGTAGAACTGGCTTTAAGTGATACGTTGAGAAAGATGCTTGCGACAGGCCTTCCAGGTTTCCAACCTCATTCAAAGCTAACAAGCTCAAATATGTACGAAGGCAACCTTTCCTTCGTCATACAAGAAAAATATCTGCGCTGTTATACTAATCTTCCGTATGGGTTTCTTCTCGATGTATTTTCCCAAACTTCAATGTGATTTTATTCAATTTACGACTAACTAATAGTAATACTAGTTGCATAAGTTACGATCGATAAACAAATATCTGGAAGCGCGGCTATCTTGTATAAGGGACTATTTTCTCCATTTGCCAATGTATTTATCAAAGCTGGAAGCAAGTACACAGTTGTGATGCCCGCTAAGATTAATTAGGCTAGATTAAGCCGTGTGTGGTGTATCTCGTATATCTTCGTGCTTTCCGTGCAGAAGCATCATGCCAGTCTCTGGTACATGCTTCAAGCTATCAATCAACTAAACACATTGTACTCAGAACTGTCGGGAAGAACTAACAGAGATCCAAAAAATGAAGCCCCTAGCTTCAATTTGGCCCGAAACGTGTGTATCGTTGGAGTACTTTTCTTGCAGATACGTTATTTGGAACCAGTATCTTTAAGCCAGAAGAATTTCAGCCAATAGTGAAGAGTTAATTTATGGTAAACGGTGACGTGGCTTACCGTGTTCTGTTTCGGAAAAAACGTTTGGTTACGAAACGTAATACATACAGGCAGGCCAGACAAGCTAAAAATACTAAATTGGAAATTTGATAAAGACAAACATCTTCTACTCTAAATAGTAATTTCTACGTGAAAACGCTTATTTTCGGTGAATATACTATATATATATA